AGATGGATGGGAAGAGATAGATAGATGGGAAGAGATAGATGGATGGGAAGAGAGATAGATGGATGGGAAGAGATAGATAGATGGGAAGAGAGATAGATGGATGGGAAGAGATAGATAGATGGATGGGAAGAGATAGATAGATGGATGGGAAGAGAGATAGATAGATGGGAAGAGAGATAGATAGATGGGAAGAGAGATAGATAGATGGGAAGAGAGATAGATGGATGGGAAGAGATAGATAGATGGGAAGAGATAGATGGATGGGAAGAGAGATAGATAGATGGGAAGAGAGATAGATGGATGGGAAGAGATAGATAGATGGGAAGAGATAGATGGATGGGAAGAGAGATAGATAGATGGGAAGAGAGATAGATAGATGGGAAGAGAGATAGATGGATGGGAAGAGATAGATGGATGGGAAGAGATAGATAGATGGATGGGAAGAGATAGATAGATGGATGGGAAGAGAGATAGATAGATGGGAAGAGAGATAGATAGATGGGAAGAGAGATAGATAGATGGGAAGAGAGATAGATGGATGGGAAGAGATAGATAGATGGGAAGAGATAGATGGATGGGAAGAGAGATAGATAGATGGGAAGAGAGATAGATGGATGGGAAGAGATAGATAGATGGGAAGAGATAGATGGATGGGAAGAGAGATAGATAGATGGGAAGAGAGATAGATAGATGGGAAGAGAGATAGATGGATGGGAAGAGATAGATGGATGGGAAGAGATAGATAGATGGATGGGAAGAGATAGATAGATGGGAAGAGATAGATAGATGGATGGGAAGAGATAGATAGATGGATGGGAAGAGATAGATAGATGGGAAGAGATAGATAGATGGGAAGAGAGATAGATGGATGGGAAGAGATAGATAGATGGGAAGAGATAGATAGATGGATGGGAAGAGATAGATAGATGGATGGGAAGAGAGATAGATAGATGGGAAGAGAGATAGATAGATGGGAAGAGAGATAGATAGATGGGAAGAGAGATAGATGGATGGGAAGAGATAGATAGATGGGAAGGGAGATAGATAGAGAGGGTGAGGGTATGTGGAGAAGAAGAGAAGGGAAGAGATAGGGAGAAAGGGAGAGGAAAAGAGACAGGGAGACAAAGGAAGAGAGGAAGATTAAGAGATGCAGAGAAAGAGAAAGAGAGAGGGTAGGAGACAGATACCCATGGAAAGTGTGGGAGATAGAAAAGGAAAGGGGAAGAGAGAGGGGGGGGGGGGGATATAGAAAGAGAGAAGTGAGGGGAAAAAATGGAGATTTATTCGCCGCTAATGACCTTAGCTGTTGACGCGGCAGATAATTCTAAATAATCAATCGATATAGAGAGAGTGAGAGGGAGAGAGAGGTGGAAAGACGGAGAGGTGGGGAGAGGAGAAGGAAGGAGGAGGTGGAGAGGGAGAGAGATGGGGAGGTGGAGAGGGAGAAGGAGAGGAAAAGGGAGGAGGGAACGGCACGCATACACACACAAATACGAATATATATATATATATATATATATAATATATATATATATATATATATATATATATATATATATATATATATATATATATATATATATACGTGTGTGTGTGTGTGTGTGTGTGTGTGTGTGTGTGTGTGTGTGTGTGTGTGTGTGTGTGTGTGTGTGTGTGTGTGTGTGTGTGTACATATATACATATATATATAAATATATATATATATATATATATATATATATATATTCATATATATATATATATATATATATATATATATATATATATATATATATATATATATATATATATATACATATATATATTCATAAATAAATAAATAAATAAATATATATATATATATATATATATATATATATATATATATATATATATATATATATATATATATGTGTGTGTGTGTGTGTGTGTGTGTGTGTGTGTGTATATTCATATATATATATATATATATATATATATATATATATATATATATATATATATATATATATAGATAGATTCATATATGTATAGAGAGATAGATAGATAGACAGACAGACCTAGTGCCGCATTATCCATAAAGCTGACGAGGCCGAAGCCAAATGACCCACCAAGGCAGAGGCCCAAGCAATCTTATCTTTTCTCTCTGTGTTCTATGTTAACACTATGGATAAGGCAAACGCCCTGCGGTTCCCTGAAATTAATTTAATGGGAATCCTCTTTGACACGAGGTACGGTAAGGGTTCAGGGCCGGATTATCCTGTAAGCTAGTCCAGGTTGCAGCCTAGGGCCCCATAAGCTTGGGGCTCTAGGCTGCTAGTATAGATTTTTTTATCTGAAAAACGTATGGTACTGAAATATTTTGCTTGGATGAATAATTCGATCAAAATTTCAACTTCTGGGAACCCAGTTTTTAAAAGTGGGCCCAGTTTGAGGCAGTATTTTTCTTTAGATAAAGGGACCCTGTTTGAGGCTTTTTATTCGAAATAATGGGTCCCTGTTTCAGGTTCTTTTTGAGATAAGGGGTTCCAGTTTGGGGCTCTGGCTGTAGATTGTGGGGTTCATATTAGAGGGGGGGGGGCTCCGTCAAAGGGGGCCTGAAAGATCATAATCCGGTCTTGTATATGTATATGTATATATATATATATATATATATATATATATATATATATATATATATATATATATATATATATAAAGAGAGAGAGAGAGAGAGAGAGAGAGAGAGAGAGAGATGGAGAGATAGACAGAGATATAGAGATAGATAGATAGGTAGAGAGAGAGAGAGAGAAGGTGGGGGAAGGATGGATGGATGGAGGGCGCGAGGGAGGAAGAGAGTGCTGCAGACTGGACGAGAGACGAAAGAGACCAAACGCGAAGCCCGAGAAAGCAGAAGGAAAGGCGCATCTGCAGGGGCACGAGCGTATCCATCACCCCCCCCCCCCCCCTCCTCGGTCCCTGAGGTCTTTACTGGTCTCAGGCCGGATGCTGGCCGACTGATCGGGATCCCGAACCCAGTACGTGACTTTCCTTTACTCTTTTGATTCCGGAAAGTGGGTTAGCTTAACGTCTTTCCTTTCGCTGGTTTAATTAATTCTAACAGCGAAACAAGTCGTTAAGTACGAAGAACCAGCCGGTAGTATGACGTACTTAAAATTCACGATTAAACAGTGTGAGAAAAACAAGAGCTGTATATATATCTCAACCCGTTAACGACTATGACAGAGACACATAAAACCGCCTTGATCTGCTTCTCTCATGGAATTCGGTAGCGTCATGAGCGCCTCCCAATGCACCATGGCCAGTGTAGACACAACAGTCCTCATGGGCGCAAATACACCCACGCCTCTTCCGAGAATCAATGGCCAAGTGGGAGCTCTACACTAGACTCTATCATGCTGTGTACATGCCTTCGTGCATTTCATACATCTCGCCACAACAAGCTAATTCCTGCAAGTGAACAGTCAACTTGAATGCAAGGAGGGAAGATCACAGAATTTCCTAGTAGTTTCGTTGGGTTGAGGACTATGGCGACGAGTATATTCCTCGATAGCGACAAGCATGCAGATAAATTAACAGATTCATATCGTTATTGTTATCTTCACCGTGAAAAATGGAAGCAAACTGATGCTCTTCCGTATGATTAATACTATATCAGCGGCTGTACAATATTGGCAATTAGTTCTGACACCCTGTTAATGGAAACCGGAATTGCTAATAGATTAAATCGCTATACAAGAGAACTTCAGACTTTGCACTAAACAACTTTGCAAAACGTATATCTGCGGGGTAGTTGTTTATCATAAGAAAAAAAAATACATAAAGAATTTCAGGTGTCTTGTGATAATATAATAATTTCGTTCAGCTGCTAGCATATATTCCAATGAATCCCTTCCAACAGCATAACTAAAACCATACCGGCATCCTCCAAGAAGTTAGCAAATTATACTTACGAAGATGACCGAGACAAGTATAAAAGTCATCGTAATGATCTCATCCTAACGAGATTCATGCGGATGGCAACTTCGCACGCATAACAAGAACAATATCTTATATGGATTCCTCACACGGCCTGACACAAGCTGCTTAAGCGTGGGTGCATGACAATTCACCTGCGTGCACAAAAAAGTTCAGGTGTCAAAATTCCACCTCGTATCATGATCCTTAATGATGTAGTTTTTTTCTTTTGGCATATTTTAAAATATTTTTTGGTGTGTATGAGAGAAGAATGGCATGCTTTTAATGAACTCATTACAGAGACAGTGTATATGCTGGCTAACGTGACTATAAGCAGTCATTTGTGTGTGCGTGTGAGTGTCTGTGTGCGTGTCTAAGTGCGTGTCTGTGTGCGTGTCTAAGTGCGTGTGTGTGTGTGTGTGTGTGTGTGTGTGTGTGTGTGTGTGTGTGTGTGTGTGTGTGTGTGTGTGTGTGTGTGTGTGTGTGTGTGTGTGTGTGCGCGTGTATGCGCTCGTGTCTGAGTGTATGTGTACATGTATGTTTGTATGTGTGTGTGTGTGTGGGGTGGGGTGCGTGGGTACAAATGCGTATTTTCCCCTCGGGTACTGATGTGTGTGCGTGCGTGCGTGCGTCATCACTAATATATATATAACCATGCTCCAACAGCCGCACGCCTGACGCCTTTATAAAGCTAACAAAAGCTTGTAATTAGTCGATCCTCAATCATAGCTTTCCCTAGCATCAAGCTGCGTGATCCAGAGCGAGGAATTCTGATCCTGCCCTTTCTTTGTTGTAACTGATTGATTGTCGTTGAGCCCTTATATTATTGTTTCTCTTACTGCGATTAAAAAAAAAATGTTTATGGCTGATTTCTACTTCCGCAGTCTATTGTGCCGTTTTTTCTTATCAATTCTTATATATATACATGCATTTAATGGTATTAGAGAATGTATCTGTTATGGTGATACACAAGAAACTGACTTAATAATGCTAAAAAACAAACAAACAAAAACAAAGACATTCCACTTACACAGGAGACACATAAACCAGAACAGCTGACTTACTTCACTTTACATCCTGAGAAGGTAACACAGGCATTACCCTAAAGTAGGTAGAACACTGAGTATATCCACACCCGTTGGTGTTAGGTATATCACCCACTGGCTCCTCCATGTCCCATATAAAGCAGTGAGATTTTCATTTTTTACTCCACAGTCTTCACTTGCGACTCGAGAAGATGCACTTTGAGGCTGCAAGCACGGGAGGGGGGGAAGGTGAGGAGAGCGTAGTCCTCCTCGACTGCGCTACACGTTTGTTGTGCTCGCTTGGACTGCGGGGGTCGGGTTCGGGCCGAGGTTGCCTGTGAACAACTACCTCGGGAACCCATTTCACCGGCGGCGCGATCCACGGCCGGCCATGGGACTGCCTCGGCACGTGGTGGCTGAAGAGAGTATTTTTCGGAGGGGAATTTTTGAGGAAGCGATTGTCCTCTGGAGGGGGAGATACCTTTGGATATTGGCGCAATCTAAATGTACTCCGGCAACTCCACATGCAGACAAATCAATGCTTTGAGTGGAACGCGGGCCAAGATATCGCTGCCATAGAAAACGGGTAAAAGAAAACAGGTGCAAAAGGGCTTTTACAGAAAATGAAATATAGTGAAGGGATACTATTGTGTTCTGAATTATAACTGTTAGGAGACTTTTTTTTTAGTCTTTCTTTAGTTATTACCGAAACGTTTCACATGTGGCAATCTGTTTCATACATATTGGTCTTATGTACACGCAATAGAAAAGCTATTATTTGACATTACAGCTTCTGTCTTTGCAATCTCAGTAAATAACTCATGAAAACCTACCACCACATTGTATACAGAAAATAAATCACGGGTGAAATATTAATTCGAAAATACAGCTAGAGTAATAAATCCAGCTGATTCAATACCAACAACTGATTCAAGCGAAAGGATATTAACATCTGGTAAAAATGTACATAGCTTTGTATTATTTACCGTTCACTCTGACATATTTTGAAAGTATTACAATGTGCCACTGATATTTTGTCCTTCAGTACTTGGTTGAAGTTTAAGTTTTAGACATGTTTATTACAGTGGATATATATCAGTAAAACTATAGGGAATCGATATTTCAAAAACTTAAATCCTCTTTATATACCCACGTATTAGCAAAGGTAACTTCAATGTTTCATTTTACGCCGACGAATCCACCAGCTGAGGAAACAATTCTTTAAATGTGCGTGTGCTTTGCCTAGTTTCTCTTTTATATTTGGTTGATATATAATTATGTTCAATGAGCTGTTAATATAATGCCTTAATCTCTGTTAAGGGTCTCCCATCCTGGAGCTATGGTCGTTCGTTTTGACAAACTTTCCTTCGGAGATTTCCGTAAATAAACATACCTTCTCAATTGTTCGTTCGTCGTTCTATTGACCTGGATGTTAATAAGGGTAGTGTTGATCATTTTACTTTATTCCAGCCAAGTCTAAAGGTTTCTTCCAAGTATAAAGTATATGAAATCCAGAAGAAATGCCAGTCTTTTCTAATGCTTTAGACTGTTTTCACAGAGGACACTTAGACGCGCCAGGACGAAGCTGCGTGGGAAGTGGTTTCTAAATAGCTTTCCACTGTCCACTAGCGGGCTTTCATACGAGCGTCTGTCGCGCGCGTGTTGAGAGATGCGTGTCCCTTCCCCAGTACGCACGATCGTTGTCATCCCAGTGAATAGCCTGACAGTAATAGCTGTGCCTGCACTGACGCTTCACTGCAGCAAAACCCTGTCATACGGACTAGCCTCTGAGTCGACGCTGTGGCTGCGTTTGGTCGAGAGTGTAAGCCTCTGCGTGGCGGTCTGTGTGGCTCGTCGAAGGGGCTTCTGTGGTAAGGGCTCGATGCATTTTGGCTAACGAGTTGCAACGATCGTACTTATTTGCAAGTGGGATGCTGTATTGTTGAATGTCCTGGATTTCGAGATGTCGATATTGTTTAGATTTCAACTGAATAGCAATTATACAGATGATAAAGATTATACGGAATATTATGATGGCAACAACAACAGAAGTAATGATAATGACAACAATAACAAAGTAGTAACAACGATGAGAGGAAGAACACTCCTAATAAAGATAATGGGGATGATAATAGAACCGATACTGATAATGTTAGCAATGACAGTGATAATCATGACAATGATAAAAATGATAATAAGAACGATAAAAGTAATTATGACAGTAGTGATAGCAGTGATAATAAGAGGTGAGAAGAGGTGAGCAAAATTCTGAGAGCCTTTTAGTCTTCTTCCAACGTCCTTAAACTAACAACTAGACAATTGTGTAAAATAAAGCCACCACCAACTGCAACTTTTATAATAGAAACCATGTATCTGTTTCAAAGAGAAGACATTACAGAAAGAAGAGAAAGATCTGTCGTTAAGACAGACATACAGGTAGACAGACAAGTAAGTGCGTAATCAGGTATGACGAGACATAAAAGGAAAAAAAACTATAAAAACCCTTTGAAATTTACCGATCTATAAAACTCATAACAAAAAAAAAAATCCGACTCCCAACCAATGAGAAATCAATAAGGGAGGGAAAAAAGGCTTATGACGTGACGCCCCTCGACTTATAAAACAGAAATGCATTTATCTCGCAAACAAATTAAACCTCTGGCTACCTCGCGTGACCAACCATTACTCCTCGGGTTTATGTTCCAGCTCTTCATTGGACCAAGGAAACCATTAACACTGGGAGGGGTATATGAGCCCCCTGGTGGACACTGGGCTCGTCCTCCTGCTGGGGGCGAGAGGGAGGGAAGGGAAGGAAGGAGGAAGAGGGAAGGGAGGGAAGGAGGAGGAGAGGGAGAGAGTGAGAGGGTGGGAAGGGAGGGAAGGAGGGGGAGAAGGAGAGAGGTAAAGGGTGGGGAGGGAAGGAAAGAAGAAGAGGGAATGGTGGGAAGAGGGAATGGAGGGAAGGAGGAGGAGAGGGAGAAGAAAGAGATTAAGAAGGAGGAAGGCGAAGAGAAGGAGGAGGAGAAGGAGAGAGTGGGAGGGTGGGAAGGGAAGGAAGGAGGAGGAGAAGGAGAGGAGAGAGTGAAAGGGTGGAGGGAAGGAAGGAGGAGGAGAAGGAGAGAGTGAGAGGGTGGGAAGAGAAGGAAGGAGGAAGAGGGAAGGGAGGGAAGGAGGGGGAGGAGAGAGTGAGAGGGTGGGAAGGGAAGGAAGGAGGAAGAGGGAATGGAGGGAAGGAGGAGGAGAAGGAGAGAGTGAGAGGGTGGGAAGGGAAGGAAGGAGGAAGAGGGAATGGAGGGAAGGAGGAGAGGGAGAAAAAGGAGAGAGTGAGAAGGAGGAGGGGGTGAGAGGATGGGAAGAGAAGGAAGGAGGAAGAGGAAATAGATGGAAGGAGGAGGAGAGGGGGGAAAAAGAGAGAATGAGAAGGAGGGGGACGGAGAGAAGGAAGAGTGATAGAAATGGAAGACTAGGAGGTAGAGAGGGTGAAAGAAAGGAAGGGAACTGGTAAGAAGAACGATAAAAATAGTGGAAGGAGAAGAGGACGAGCAGATGAAAGGATAAGGGTTAGAGGTGATGGTGATGATGAGGAGAAAGGGAGACTGATGAAGAAGGGGAGGAGAAGAGCAGGAGTGACAAAGGATGATATTAAAGACGAGGAATAGGGACAAGAGGAGATAGAGAAAGAGGAGGAGGAGGAAGAGGAGGAGGAGGAGGAGGAGGAGGAGGAGAAGGAGGAAGAGGAGTAGGAGGAGGAGGAAGAGGAAGGGGAGGAGGAGGAGGAGGAGGAGGAGGAGGAGGAGGAGGAGGAAGGGGAGGAGGAGGAAGGGGAGGAAGAGGAGGAGAAGGAGGAAGAAGAGGAGAAGGAGGAGGAGGAGGAGGAGGAAGAGGAGTAGGAGGAGGAGGAGGAAGAGGAAGAGGAAGAGGAGGAGGAGAAGGAGGAAGAAGAGGAGGAGAAGGAGGAGGAGGAAGAGGAGGAGGAGAAGGAGGAAAAAGAGAAGGAGGAGGAGGAGGAGGGTGAGGAGGAGGAGGAGGAGGAGGAGGAAGAGGAGGAGGAGGAGGAGGAAGAGGAAGGGGAGGAGGAGGAGGAGGAGGAGGAGGAGGAGGAGGAGGAGGAAGGGGAGGAGGAGGAAGGGGAGGAAGAGGAGGAGAAGGAGGAAGAAGAGGAGAAGGAGGAGGAGGAGGAGGAGGAAGAGGAGTAGGAGGAGGAGGAGGAAGAGGAAGAGGAAGAGGAGGAGGAGAAGGAGGAAGAAGAGGAGGAGAAGGAGGAGGAGGAAGAGGAGGAGGAGAAGGAGGAAAAAGAGGAGGAGGAGGAGGAGGAGGAGAAGGAGGAGGAGGAGGAGGAGGAAGAAGTAGAGGAAGAAGAGGAGGAGGAAGAGGAGGAGAAGAAGAAGAAGAAGAAGAAGGAAAATGAAGTGGAAGAGGAAGAAGAAAAAAAAAGAGAATGAAGAAAGAAAGAACAAAAAGAAGAACAAGAGGAGCTGCCTGAAGACAAGAAGAAGAAGAAGAGAATTAGATGAAGAAGGAATAACTGTAGGAAGAGAGGAAGACAGGAAGCCACCGACAATGACAAAAAAAAGATCGTAGTGATGTATGTAAGGAAGATAATGAGGGGAAAAATATGATAATGGTGACAGAAACAGATCATACAAACACAAACATTACATTAATTCATGAGGAGAGGAACAGAAAAGTTGGTAGAGGAAGAAGAGGAGGAGGAGAGGAAGAGGAAAAGGAGAGAGAGTGGAAGGCTAGGAAAAGAGGAAAAAGGAAAGGAGAGAGAGGAAAAGAGGAAAAGGCATTGAGAAAGAATGGAAGACGAGGAAAAGAGGAAAAGGGAAAGGAGAGAGAATGGAAGATGAGGAAAAGAGGAAAAAGGAAAAGGAGAGAGAATGGAAGACGAGGAAAAGAGGAAAAGGCATTGAGAAAGAATGGAAGACGAGGAAAAGAGGAAAAGGAAAAGGAGAGAGTGGAAGGCGAGGAAAAGAGGAAATGGGAAAGGAGAGAGAATGGAAGACGAGGAAAAGAGGAAAAGGGAAAGGAGAGAGAATGGAAGACGAAAAAGGAAAAGGAGAGAGAGTGGAAGACGAGGAAAAGAAAAAGGGAAAGGAAAGATAATGGAAGACGAGGAAAAGAGGAAAAGGAAATGGAGAGAGAATGGAAGACGAGGAAAAGAGGAAAAGGAAAAGGAGAGAGAATGGAAGACGAGGAAAAGAGGAAAAAGGAATAGGAGAGAGAGTGGAAGTCGAGGAAAAGAAAAAGGGAAAAG